GACGAAACCCTGTCAAAAAAAAACAAAAATTAGGCATGGTGGCAGGCACCTGTAGTCCCAGCTACTTGGGAGGCTGAGGTAGGAGAATCGCTTGAACCCAGGAGGTGAAGGTTGTAGAGAGCCAAGATCACACCACTGCACTCCAGCATAGGCCAGAGAGAGACCTGTCCCCAAAAAACAAAAATTAGCTCAGCATGGTGGCTCATGCCTATAATCCCAGGTACTCCAGAGACAGGTAGATCAGTTTAGCCTGGGAGGTCGAGGCTGCAATGAGCTGTGATTACACCACTGCACTCCAGCCTGGGCAACAGAGTGAGACCCTGTCATTAAATAAATACATATTTATGTGTCTAAATAAACACAAGTACCCTGGAATCTGTTGCCATTTCCATCAAATCTGAACCTCGGCTGTGTAGGGATGAAGAGAAAGCTTCCTTATTGCTCTCTGAAGTTTCACTAAAAATTACTGACAAAAGGCAGATTAATAAGAGAAAAGGAATACGAATGTATTTGATCATAGTGTTACCTGACAAGCCTTCAGAATGAAGACCCAGAGATAAGGGGAAACTTTTGTTTAGAGATGGAGTCTGGCTCTGTTGACTGGGCTGGAGTGTACGGGTGATCTTGGCTCACTGCAGCCTCAAGGGATTCTCCTGCCTCAGCTTCCTAAATAGCTGGGATTATACGTGCCTGCCACCATGCCTGATTAATGAAAAGTGTCTTATGCTTAGGTTCAACAAAGTTTCAACACCCAGGTAGAAATCTAATTGGACAAAAAGGGTGTGTTGTGGTTCACGCTTATAATCCCAACACTTTGGGAGGCTGAGGCGGGTGGATCACTTGAGGCCAGGAGTTTGAGACCAGCCTGGGCAACATGGAAAAACCCCATCTTTACTAAAAATACAAAAATTAGCTGGGCATGGTGCATCTGTAATCCCGGCTACTCGGTTGGCTGAGAATCGCTTGAACCCGGGAGGCCAAGGTTGCAGTGAGTTGAGATCTCGCCACTGCACTCCAGTGTCGCCAGGACAACAGAGCAAGACTCAAAAAAAAAGGTGGGGGGGTTGTCTAATACTAATAGGCTGAGTCGGGAAAGCCAGCAAGGCCTGTTTGTCTAGATTCTTGGAATCTCAGGAATGCATGCTCAGAGAGACCAAGAAAAATCTACATAGGTAGGCCTTGTGTGGGGCAGAAACTTCTTTGAAACGGAGGTCTTATGACCTACAGTCAATAGGGTAGGTCAGATAATTTCTTATTTTTTTGAGACAGCACTTTGGGAAACCAAGATGGGAGGATGGCTTGAGCCCAGAAGTTGGAAATCAGCCTGGGCTCAGCACAGAGAATTCTCATTTCTACAGGAAAAAATATATATAATTATGTGTATATGTGTTTGTTTATTTATTTATTTTTGAGACGGAGCCTCACTCTGTCACCCAGGCTGGAGTGCAGTGGCATGGTCTCAGCTTACTGCAACCTCTGCCTCCCAGATTCAAGCGATTCTGCCTCATCCTCTCGAGTAGCTAGGACTATGGGCGCCTGCCACCACGCCCGGCTAATTTTTGTAGTTTTAGTAGAGACGGGGTTTCGCCATGTTGGCCAGGCTGGTCTTGAACTCATGACCTCAGGTGATACACCCACCGCAGCCTCCCAAAGTACTGGGATTACAGGCGTGAGCCACCGCTCCCTGCCAGAAAAATACTTTTAAATTAGAAGGGCATGGCCTGGCGCCATGGCTCACGCCTGTAATCCCAACACGTTGGGAGGCCAAGGCGGACAGATCACGAGGTCAGAAGATAGAGGCCATCCTGGCTAACCCTGTCTCTACTAAAAATACAAAAACAAAATTAGCCGGGCGTGGTGGCGGGCACCTGTGGTCCCAGCTACTCAGGAGGCTGAGGCAGGAGAATGGCGTGAACCCGGGAGGCGGAGCTTGCAGTGAGCTGAGATCGCTCCACTGTACTGCAGCCTGGGTGACGGAGCGAGACTCTGTCTGAAAATAAATAAATAAATAAAAGAGCGTGGTGGATGACACTGGTAGTCCCAGCTACCTGGGAGGTCGAGGCTGCAGTGAGCCATGATCGCACCACTGCACTCCAGCCTGGGCGACAGACCAAGACCTTGTCTCCAAAAAAAAAAAAAAATTGTTATTGAGAATATTTTCCAAGGCAGAGTGGATGAAGTTAGATGTACAGAATAAATACAGGACTCTCTGAGATCCCTATAACCTGAGCGCTGCGTGTGACCCTGGAGCCTCACAGGGGCACACACGGGCACACAGAACTTAGCCTCCTGTTCTCCAGCAGCGCCTATTGCGCGCGCAGCCCCGGGACCACGAAACTGCTGCTTAACGGTCGGCCCCGCCCCATTGGCCGCGCAAGTTCTCAAAGGGGGCGGGGCTGGGAGCACGAGTCGCACAACAAGCACGCGCCGGCGCGGAGCTCACCAGGGGCGGGTCGGCGCATGCGCAGATGGTGCGAGCTTGAAGGCGGGAAAATACGTAATGGAGCGACAGGGAGTACGCGGCGCTTGTTTCCTTCGCGCGCGTGGGGCGGGCGGACAGATGGGCAGGGAACGGCTGCGATCCCAGCCTTCTCCAGCGGACCTGAGCCCCGCCGCTTGTCCTTTGCTATTGGGGCTGCCTCTCATCAGGCCTGGCCCCAAATTTCCTGACTGACTGAACCCGGCCCTGACTGACGCACTGACGGTCTGATTTCCACACATGGCGCGTGGCCGAAATGGAGTAGAGAAAGGCACAAAAACCCACGCACCACACCCGTTTCTTTCATTTCTTTTCTCCCAAGTAGCTAGGATTATAGGCATGCCCCAACCACATCAGCTAAGTTTTGTATTTTTAGTAGAGACGGGGTTTCACCATATTGCCCAGGCTGTTCTCGAACTCCTGACCTCGTGATCCGCCCGCCTCGGCCTCCCAAAGTGCTGGGATTACAGGCGTGAGCCACCAGGCCCAGCCTCATTTCTTTTCTCCTACCTCTTCTTTCTGGAAGGACTCCAGCCAACACACATACCAGTTAGGAGCCCAGGTCCCCCAGTTACATTCCTACAGTCCTGCCCTCACCCGGCTGCTCTAGGTCTGGTGTCCAGGTGTCCCCTAGGGACAGAGTGTCCTTTCACCCCACGCCCCTGCCCTCATGGCACCTGCCCAGCCCTGCCGGTCTCTCCTGCGGGTCCCCACCGTCCCGCAGCGGCACATAGAGGTGCCCAGGGTTGAAGGGTCGGCAGGAGGACGATCTGTTCACTCCTTATCCTCCCTCCTTGGCCTCCCTCCTGACTGTGCTCGCAGGTGGACGTGCCCCATGTGAAGTGCAAAGACCAAGAGCCACAGCCCTTGGGGGAGAGCAAGGAGCATCAGCGGTGGGAAGAGAACTGCAAGGAGGAAGCTGGTGGAGGGCCAGCTAGGTGAGGAAGATCCCAGCCCTGTGGGTCCACACGGGCCCCTGGGTCCCTCTCATTCACCCTTTTCTTCCCCAAGGCTCTGCCAGTGTCTGTTTCTTTCTTTTTTTTCCCTCCTAACACAGCATCTTGCTTTGTCACCGTGCAGCGGCATGATCACAACTCACTGCAACCTCCACCTCCCAGACTCAAGTGATCCTCCCACCTCAGCCTCCAAAATAGCTGGGACTAGAGGCATGCCAGAATGTCTGGCTAATTTATTAAAATATATTGGCTGGGCACAGTGGTTCATGTCTGTAATCCCAACAATTTGGGAGGCCAAGGTGGGTGGGTCACCTGAGGTCAGGAGTTTGACACCAGCCTGACAAACATGGAGAAACCCCATCTCTACTAAAAATACAAAATTAGCCGGGCATGGTGGCACATGCCTGTAATCCCAGCTACTCGGAAGGCTGAGGCAGGAGAATTGCTTGAACCTGGGAAGTGGAAGTTGCGGTGAGCTGAGATCGCGCCATTGCACCTCCAAACCTGGACAAAAGAACAAACTCTGTCTCAAAAAAAAAAAAGCCATGGAGTGGTGCTCACACCTGTAATCCCCAGCAACTTTGGAGGCCGAGGTGGGTGGATCAAGAGGTCAGGTGGGCCGCGGCGCGGTGGCTCCAAGCCTTAATCCCCACTTTGGGAGCTGAAGGCGGGTGGATTCACGAGTCAGGAGATCGAGACTATCCTGGCTAACATGGTGAAACCCCGTCTCCTAACTAAAATACAAAAAAGCAGCCGGCATGGTGGCGGCCGGCCGTGTAGCTCTCACGTACTTGGAGGCTGAGGCGGGAGAGTGGCGGTGAACCGGGAGGTGGAGGCCTTGCAGTGAGCCCGAGATCACCGCCACTGCACTCCGCAGCCCTGGGAGACACAGCGAGACTCCATCTCCAAAAAAAAAAAAAAAAAGAGTCGGTTCGGACCCAATCCTGGCTAAACAGTGAACCGCCGTCGCTCTACTAAAATACCAAAAAATTAGCCTGGGCGGGTGGCGGACGCCTATAGTCCCAGCTACCGGGGAGACCTGAGCAGGAGAATGCAATGAACCCGGGAGGCAGAGGTTGCAGTGAGCCGAAATCGGTGCCACTGCACTCCAATACGGGGCAAACAGTGCGAGACTCCATCTCAAAAAAAAAAAAAAAAAAGAATGGAGACCATCCTGGCCAACATGATGAAACCCCCGCCTCTGCTAAAAATAACAATTAGCTGGGTGGTGGGCACACACCTGTAGTCCCAGCTACTCGAGGCTGAGGCAGGAGAAATCACTTGACCCCCAGAGGTAGAGGTTGCATGAGCCAAGATCATGCCATTGCACTACAGCCTGGCGACAGAGTGGAGACTTTGTCTCAAAAAAAAAAAAAAAAAAAATTAGTAGGCCCAGGAACCGTAACTCCGTGCCTGTAAACCCAGCACCTTTGGGAGGCCGAGGCAGGCAGATCATGAGGTCAGGATTAAGACCAGCCTGGCCAATATGGGGAAACCCTGTGTCTACAAAATGAGCCAGGCATGGTGACAGATGCCTGGTAATCCTAGCTAACTCAGGGAGGCGAGGCAGGAGAATTGCTTTAACATGGGAGCAGAGATTGCAGTGAGCCAAGATTGTGCCATTGCATGTCCAGGCCTGGTGACAGAGCAAGACTCGTCCTCAAAAAAATATATATCACACACACACATACATACACACACATACAATCTATATATATTTAGTAGAGGTGGGCACGGTGGCTCATGCCTGTAATCCCAGCACTTTGGGAGGCTGGCGCTGCCAGATAACTTGAGTCAGGATTCGAGACCAGCCTGACCACATGGTGAAAATGTCTCTACTAAAAATACAAAAAATCAGGCGGGGCGCGGTGGCTCAAGCCTGTAATCCCAGCAACTTTGGAGGCCGAGACGGGGCGATCACGAGTCAGGAGGATCGAGACCATCCTGGCTAACAACGGTGAAACCCCGTCTCTACTAAAAATACAAAACACCTAGCCGGCGCGAGGTGGCGGGCGCCTGTAGTCCCAGCTTACTCCGGAGCCTGGGACGGCAGAGAATGGCGTGAACCCGGGAGGCGGAGCTTGCAGTGAGCTGAGATTCCGGCCACTGCACTCCAGCCTGGGTGACAGAGTGAGACTCCGTCTCAAAAAAAAAAAAAAAAAAAAAAAATCAGCCAGGCGTGTGGTACACACATGTAGTCCTAGCTCTCAGGAGGCCAAGACAGGAGGATCCCTTGAGCCCAGGAGTTTTGAGACCAGCCTGGGCAACAGAAGGGAGAACAATCTCTCCAAAAATAGAAATAAAAAGAAATCAGCCACGGTTGGTGTGCACCACACCTTGGTCCAGCTACTGGAAGCTTAAGTGGAGACCACAATGATCCCAGAAAGGTCGAGGCTGCAGTGAGACATGATTGCTTCACTGCACTGGAAAAGCAAGACCCTGTCTCAAAAATAAATAAGTAAATAATGTCATTTCAACTGGTGGCAAGTAAGTGGAATGAAGAAACAAAATATAGTAAGGAGCAGGTAGAGTTACAGGGACCTTAGAGCAGTTGGAGAACTCTGAAGAGGTCACATGAGAAGGGGCCAGGCAGGAGGCATTCTGGGCTCAAAACTTCCACGAAGAGGGGGCCCCAAGTATGAAGTCCCTGAGGTAGGAATAAGCTTGATGTGTTCTCAAAAGAGCAAGAAGGCTGATGTTGGCCCCCAGCACTTTGGGAGGCAGAGGTGGGTGGATCATGAGGTCAGGAGTTTGAGACTAGCCTGGCCAACATGGTGAAACCCTGTCTCTACTAAAAATACAAAAAATTTAGCTGGGCGTGGTGGCAGGCGCCTGTAATCCCAGCTACTCCAGAGGCTGAGGCAGGAGAATTGCTTGAACCTGGGAGGCAGAGGTTGCAGTGAGCCAAGATCGCACCACTGCACTGTAGCCTGGGCAACAGAGCCTGACCCTGTCTCGGGGAAAGAGGCTGATATGTCAGGTATTGTAATTGGCAGCAGGGACACCCCTGTCCTCCAGACAGACATGCTCATACCCTCCTGGTGTTTGCATCTGACCAAGCACCAACACGGAACAGATCATGGTGCTGGGAGACCTTTCCCCTGGGGGCAGCCAGACGAACGTGGAGCCAGGGAAGGTGTCCTTGTAGAAGAGATGTTGAAGCAGAAGGTGTGGGCTGGGCAGGGAAGGAGGAGTTGAGAGAAGGGCTTGTGCAAAGTCCCTGCTTGTGGCATTCGGGGAGCTGAAGGAAGGCCAGTGTGGCTGGGCAAGTGGGGTACAAAGGTGAGGGCAAGGTGAGGGCTGCAGAAGGGGCCAGGTCATGAGGCATTTTGTGGGCTACAGACTTTACCCTAGAGGTTTTTTCAGTAACAGCTTTCAGATATAATTCACATACCATCCGGTTCACCTCTTTTTTTTTTTTTTTTTTCCCCAGACGGAGACTTGCTCTGTCGCACAGGCTGGAGTGCAGTGGTGCAATCTTGGCTCACTGAAACCTCCCCCTCCTGGATTCAAGCAATTCTGCCTCAGCCTCCCGAGTAGCTGGGACTACAGGCATGCACCACCACGCCTGGCTTTTTTTTTTTTCGGTAGAGACGGAGTTTCACCATGTTAGCCAGGATGGTCTCAATCTCCTGACCTCGTGATCTGCCCATCTTGGCCTCCCAAAGTGCTGAGATTATAGGCATGAGCCACCGCGCCCAACTCACCTCCTTGAAGTGTATGATTTGATTGCTTTTGGTATATTCAGAGCTGGACAACCATTCTCATAGTCAACTTTAAAACATCTTCATCACTCCAGGCTGGGTACAGGCCTCCCAAAGTGCTGGGATTACAGGCGTGAGCCACTGCATCTGGACTTCCATCTTTTTTCAATGGCTGAATAATATTCCACATATGTCTACCGCATTTTGTTTATCCATTCATCTGCTGATAGTCATTCAGGTGGTTTTCACTTTTTGGCTGTTACGAGCAGCACTGCTATGAAATCTATTTAGAAAAGTTTGCGTGTAGACAGATGATTTCATTTCTCCTGGGCATACTCATACCTAGGAAGGGAACTGCTGGCTCACAGAAGTGACATGCTCAGGTTCCAGTTATAAAAAGATACAGCTGCAGGCCGGGCACGGTGGCTCACGCCTGTAGTTTGGGAGTTCGAGGTAGATGGATCACCCGAGGTCAGGAATTCGAGACCAGCCTGGCCAACATGGCAAAACCCCGTCTCTACCAAAAATACAAAATTAGCCAGGCGTGGTGGTGCATGCCTGTAATCTCAGCTACTTGGGAGGGTGAGGCAGGAGAATCACTTGAACCCGGGAGGCGCAGGTTGCACTGAGCCAAGATTGCGCCACTGCACTCCAGCCTGGGCAACAAGAGCGAAACTCTGTCTCAAAAAATACTATTAATTTTAAAAATGGCTGCTTTGTAGAGAATGGCTGGGAGAATGTGTGAATGTAGGGAGGCCTAGTGAGAGGCTTCTGTGGGGGCGTGGCCTTTAGCAGGGCAGGTGGAGGGAGTGCCTTGTACCATGGGGCACAGGAAGGGGATGAGGGAGGATGTTTCCCGGCCATGACGTGCTGGAGCGAGCTCTTACCGGCTTGCAAGAGACGATTCTACACATCTCTTCCCAACTTAGCATTTAGCGTCTTGTCTTCATGTTGGTAGCCTGAAGTTGGTTATGGTGGGAGGCTCTGCACCACGGAAACTGGCAAACGCTATGAATCAGGGCTTCCCCCCCATCACACAGCCAGTTGCTAAATGCTTACCAGCACATCACTGTTGCCTGCTTTCCAGCTTGTGGTGGTTTCCAGTAGGTGGTGGCTTCTTGGCAGAGACAAGAACACGAGTTCTGTGTTGTCCTTGTTTTTCTGAGCCATTTTAGGTGGCCAGGGACATCCACCTGTCCAGGATACAGTTGAACTTTCTGACCCGGAACTCGGGATGGGGCGAGGGGCTGGAGATGGTGCTGTGGGAATCACTGTTTC